TTTCATGAAATGGCACGGCTAATTTGTCTTCAAGAAGTTCCTTGGAGGGAAAAATAAGAAGAAAAGAAAAAAAATTAAAGAAGGGATGGAGACAAAAAAAAAGTTCCTTGGAAATATTCTGACTTCAAAAGCTTCTAGTTATAACCTGTAGAATGTATCATTCACCTCAGGCAGATGCTACTAGGTGTTAATTATGGGGAAACACGTTGGCCCACCTTCTATGACTTCAGAACCTTTCTTCTGTAAATTCTGTAATTTTACTATTATAGAACACCTTAATAACACCTTGGACTTCTGATTAAGTCCAAAGGCATCAAGGCAATTTGTCTTGCCTTCACTCTCAGACATGACTGTGTAACATCCTTAAAACTTTTCTTTGGGCAGTTTCCTTTTAAACAGAACTTAAGTAAAAAGAAAAGCAATATGACTTAAAGAAAATTACCGAGAAAATAATTGTTATGAGAGTTTAGCCAACTACAAGATTACAGCATCCACACAAGACTATCTTCATTTTTTAAAAAAATTTAAGGCTGTCCCCATTTTGGACAACACTTCTAAGTTCAGGGGGTTCCCCGACCTATCAGATTTGGAGATTCACTAGAAAGACTCCCAAACTCACTAAAAGCTGCTATGCTCATAGTTATGAGAAACAGAAGGGATACAAATTAGACCAAGGGGAGAAGCACATAGGCAGAGCTCCCGTTGTGACCCCTCTATATAGGTAGGATAGCATACCTCTCCCAGCTTCAATGTGTGACAATATTTGTGAAGTACGGCCACCAATAGAGGCTCACTGAGCCATGGTATCCAGAGTCTTTATTAAGGTTCCCTCATGCAGAAACAGTTAACTGCCCATGAGGTTGATCTCAGTTCCCAGCCTGTCCAGAAGTCCGGCTACAGGGCCCAAAGCTCCCACCCTGTATCCCATCATTGGTGTGGCTCAGAGCTCCCACCATTGCTCCTATTTGACTGGTTCCAGGACACCAGGAAAACAGAGGCATTCCTATCAGACATGACATTCTGTAGTAGACTGTTCCATGATGTGACTGCTGCCTTGAGGCAGGATACTAAGGAGCTAGGAAAATTCCTTGGCAAGTGGGATGAGGGAAACTGAGACAAGATAGTTAAATAAGGCTGAGCAATTAATAGCCAGCTAATAAATCACAAGATCTTATCTTCCCTAACCAAGGATACTTAGGAACAGATGGTTTATAACTCTCCTCCCTAACCACTCAGTGAGTAGATTAAATCCTCCTGGTCAAGGAGATTAGATAACAGAGACCCCGTTGGTGCCATTAGTACCAGCTGAACCCCAGAACGAATTAAGTCAGGGGAATAAAAAACAAAAGAAGCTCAATTAGACCCAAATCCAAGATAAAAGTAAAGCAGTGAAGTCGACCAGAGAATGATCCCAAACTCCCCTATATGATCGTTTTGATGCATCAGCATATTAAAGGGCACACCTGGAAACCTATTGCATATTGTTGAAATCCTCCCCTAAAATTCCTGCCTTTGGAAAACAGAGAAGCCCTGGCTGGTATGGCTCCGTGGCTTGAGTTCCAGACTTCAAACTGAGAGGTTGCCAGTTCGATTCTCAGATAGGGCACATGCGTGGGTTGCGGGCCAGATCCCCAGTCGGGGGCATGTGAGAGGCAACTAATTGATGTATCTCTCACACACTGCTATTTCTTGCTTTCTCCCTCGCTTCTTCTCTTTCTAAAAGGAAATAACTAAAATCTTTTAAAAACCCAAACAGATAAGAACCCTCAACACTAAGGACCCAGTGTGTAGTCTCTCTTGAACACACCCATCCCTAGACCCTTTTCCTCAGGCAGGTACTTTTGCTTTCTTTCTCCTAAACTCTAAATGTTCCCAGGAGACTTGCAACCTGGGGAGCAGCAGACAGTGGCAGCCCATCCTGGTCTAACCCCCTGAATCTGTCTCCAAGAGCCCTCCTTTTGCCTCTGTAACTTCGTTTCCTCAGTCCGTGCAGCCCCGCTGACTTCTGCTACTACGACTTCCTTTCCTGCATGTAGGCATCCCAGTCTAGGCTCATTTCTGTTGCTGTTACCTTGTGATGCATGCACCGGCTTGAGGTGCCTGCGGCATCATGGATGAAATATGAGACAAATTCACACGGACTACTGAGTCCTGTGGAGAAAAAGGGACCACGTGGCTACTCCCTCAAGAGGGGAGCGCCTCAGAGCAGCTTGGCCACTCTCTCAAGGAGAGAGCGCGCTGACCCTTGCCTAGACAGGCTTTTTTAAATTGGGTTTAATTTGCACAGGAATACAGGTACAGCTGATTAATCATTGTCAGGCAGTAAGAATCAAACAGTAGATAGCATAAAAAGAACTATTGGGGCTTCTTCTGAGTCAGGGTCCATCAGGTAAAAGGCTACAAAACCTTGGGAAACAAACTCATTTCCTGCTTGGGCCTTTATCATTTAACTAAGAGCATTCTTAGCAAGCAGGCTTCATATCCTTTCTCAGGCCTGATCACCTGGGGAGCCCACCCTTTCCAGCACAGGGCTACACCGCCCTCTGTCATTTGTTTCAGGCTTAAGTCAGGCAGAGGAGGCAGATAGTCAAGGAATTTTCAGAGACTTCTCCGGGACTCAGGGGAGTCAGGCTTTGTCAAAGCTGAGGAGTGAGGGTCCATCACCCCTTCTCCATAGCCTCCAAGTCCTTCCCTGGTGCCTCCACATGTTCATGCCTGTCTTAGGCAGTTCCCCCCTTGGGGAATCTTACCCGTCATTGGCTAACTGATCAAGCACTGGGGGCCAGTTATGAAAAAAGGATCAGAAGCGGTGCTCCTGCCAGGGAGAGAAGCTTTGTCTCCTTAGTGGCTTGTGGTCTGAAGGTCGCTCACTCAGCCTTAGCCATGTGGGGTTTACAGCTCCTGAAACCAGGCAGGGCGGTTCCCAACAATCTTGTCTCTTCTATCTTAAGCCCTTCCTTTGTTTCACTGACCCCAGATTCAATAAGCTCTCAAAATCACCTGGACTAGTATCTTGAAACCTTTTCTGCAAGGAGTCAAGAACTCACACATTCAAGCATGCTCTCCCTCCTGGAAGCATACCCATGTCTTTCTTCCCTTCCGTACAACTCCTAAACTCTTAAGGGTCTCCATGAGACTTGCAACTAAGGGAGCAGTGGACAGCAGCAGTTTGTTCTGGGCTAACCCCCCTTAACCTGTTCACTAAGCCCCTTGTGTCTGACTTCTGTGAGCTGACAGTAGCTCTACCTTGGCTCATTTCTTTCCTATATTGTTTCTAGAGAGCCAAGCAGCCCTGCCTAGGCCTCTCTTGTTGCTTCTCTATCCTAGGCTGTTTCTCATTTCACTGTGCCCAGCTTTAATAAACGTTCCCTCTCTAAAAACAAACAAAATTCACAGGAAACTTGACATTGAATCAAGATTCAGAAAATTTAAATGTAGATGTAGCTGTCCTTATTGCCTCTATCATGGAGATCCTTCTGATAATATTAGCATGGGGAATAAGTATGACATGGAGTCAATTTAGTCATAAACCTCATTCCTGTACTTTTTTTGCTAGTAATTTTAAGGTCATTATGCAACAGCTTGGGAAAACTACTCTATGCTAGGATAAACTGCATATCAATATTTTAAAAAAGATTTTATTTATTTTAGAGGGAAGGGAAGAGAGGGAGGGAGAGAAACTTCACTGTGTGATTACTCTCACATGCCCCCTACCGAGGACCTGGCCAGCAACCCAGGCATGTGTCCTGACTGGGAATCGAACGGGCAATCTTTCTGTTTGCGGGCCAGCACTCAATACACTGAGCCACACCAGTCAGGGCTGCATATTAGTATTTTAACAACCTATGATAGAGGTTTTGTGATGTCTTTTTCTTGTCTACCTTGATGCCAATAATTTATAAAGAATCTCTGTAGTTTGTACTTGAATGACTTCAACACACTTCTTTTTTTTTCATTTGACTGAAAGAAGCACGCACCAATAGGTCTCCAGTGTTGTGTTTTAAAAGCCTGAAGTCAAGATTTAAAAGCAAGTGACTTGTGTAGAAACAATATTTAAAAAAAACATGGTTTGGCTAGAGTATTAGTGCAGGGTGTATTAATTAAATTCTCTGGTTTTCAAAAATTTGAACTGTAATATATTTCTTGGTGAGCTATTTCAATTTTTAGTAGCAAATACATGTGTATATAGGGCATCTTATTAATATTTGAGGCTTAATTGAGACCTTAAAAAAAAAACCTGACACATACTAAGTGTCAGCAGTGTCAACATTGAATTTCTTAAAGGGAGCATGATTCCAGCCCCACCACTTATTGGCTATGCAATCTGGGGTAATTTGACCCATCTCTCAGTTCCCTCACCTGAAAAGTAGAGAATACAGTAATTGGATTCCCTACTTGAGTATTGGATGAAATGGTTAAGATATGTAATGTACTTAAAACCACATTTGCTAATGTCATCCTTTCATTGTGCCTCATTCCCTTCATTGTTTCTTTAAGAGCTGCCTCATGCCAGGGGATATGGAGGAGGCACATGTAAAAGCCATTCCACTGGTTTGGCCATTCTATTTATTCTCCTTGGAGAAATCTTGTGTGAAAAACAAAGTGTCTCCCTACTCTTCTAATTCTCTCCCACTCCCAGTAATATCTACATCTTCAAGAACCTCCTGGGCCACTACTAACTGCTGGATGGCCAAGCTACAGGACAATTATTTCCTTAAGTAAGCAAACACTTCAGCCCTCTAATATGGTATTGGGCTGGAATATCAACAGGAAGTTCTATGGAAAGAGCTCTGCAGAAACACTCATTCCAAAGGAGACTGATAAAATGACAAATTTGCTCAGCCTGTACAACAAACACCCTGCAACCCTTACATGCCACCCCTGTTGTAGGGCCTCACTTACCGGCAGACAGCTGCTGACCCTATTACTTTTCTCTAGGATCCTGAGCCAAGGAGACCTGTAGATCCGACCTCATGTGAAAAAAATCAAACAGGCAAAAATTTGCACTTACAAAGCAGCTGGACCATTTATTAGCATTAAAAAAAGCATTCCTTTAAACAAGGGATGGGAATCTGTACACTAAAGGCTTACCCATTTTATAAGAACTTAAGACCAAATTCTCTACACCAGTACACAGCTTAATCATGAACAGCAACAAAAATTAGAATTAAATGAACCAAATTGTCCCGCTAGGACATAAGGAGAAAGCAGGGATGGATGCGAAGTTTTTGCTTTCACTTCACAATGTTAAAGGAACAAGAGACTAATAACTCCCCAGTGCAGCACAAAGCTGCTTCCCATTGTTTCAAGAAAGTCACATTTAATTATCAATGGTCCAAGAGCTAAGAAAATTTCGTGGAAAACAGGGGCGTACCCTTTGGCTTCCAGTGTGCTAGGACTGGCTGACACACTTCGGGAAAAGCGTCCTTATAGAATCTCCAGCATCAGGTCTCAGCTTCCCAACCTATAAAATGCAGCAGTGGCGGGGGAAGACCCGTTAGGCTTCCAGATCAAAGTCATCGCGCTCCTCATTGTACTCCAGCACGTGCTGTTTGATCTTGGATGAGTCAACCCAGGTAACGAAGTCCTCCATGCTGCGGGTGACAAGAAATGCGGGGTCGGTGACCACGTCGGGGCCCACGCGCACGTGGCCCTGCTCCACGAAGGCCACGGCAGCCTGGAGGTGCTGCGCCATGCGCAGCTTAAGCAGCACGGTGGGTAGTCGGCGGCGGCAGAAGGACGAGGCCGTGACGAAGTCGCAGAGCTCGAGTGAGGTGCGCGTGGGCACCAGGCCAAGAGCATACAACTTGTCCAGCAGCGCTGCGGAGGAGCGCACGCGAAATGGGTCGCGCTCAGGCAAGTCGCGTAGGCGCCGCGCCAGCTCGCGCACTGAACGGCTCAGCTGGTTGTAACGCGTGTAGTCCTCACGCCGCTGCAGCCGATAACGCCGCAACACGCGCAACTCGTGCAGGTTTTGGTCAGTGACCTCCCAGTTCAGAAAGTCCACCTGCTTCAAGAGCTTCTGCTCGTGAAACTTAAGCTTCCGGACCATGACAGCGGTTGCAGGTTCCTTAGACGCTATGCAGAGCACAAGTTCCGGGTTTCGCGTGACTTCCGCCTCCGCGTACCTAGAGCCACTCGGACAATTGGGCCAATGAAAGGAAGATGAGTGGCCACGCCCCCGACTTCCATTGGCCAGATTGGGACCACGCCTTCAAACTATATCTCGCGGTTTTTTCCTTCCCTCCCCAGACCCAGCGTAGACGGATCTGGTCGGGGCCGGGAGGGCGGAGCCCAGTTAAATTTCCCGGAGCCAGTCTTCTGTATGTTAATGATTTTTGTCATTCAGATGGCTGTGTTTTAGGGACTCCTAGGATAATCTCCCTATAAGAGCTAAAGAGGCCAGTTGCGAGGAAGGGGGAAGACGGCGCTTGTTTCTTTGGGTTTACGCAGTGCTGACCGTTAGGTTCCTTTAACTTTGTAGAGGACCTTGCGGGAGGGCGGAACGTTTTTTCCTGCTAAAAGGGGCTGGGCTGCAGTGAACCTGTGAAATACAGGTTCTGCGGCCGCTTCCTACACGGTCAGAATCGGGATCTGTATGGGAGCCACCTGGGAATCTGCATTTTGGCAGGAGTGCCACTTGATTCATAAAACCCAGCAAGTTTGAGAAGCTTGGGTAGTAGGTACAAGTCTTGACCCTTCAGTTCAGACTCAAACGAATTTGCTTGACTGGGTGGATATCTGGTCACACCTAATATTGAGTTAACGAAGGTAACTCTTTCAGCTAGTTATTTCTCTAACCTATACCTGCGTGTAGGCTGCAAGACTAACCTCTTTATTTGCCCAAGCTTTTGACGCCACCTAGCTTCTTCGCTGATCATTTTTTGTATGTTTTTTTTTAAGTATAATACTTGGTATATGGTAAATAGAATTCGTATCATATGTAAGTTATAACGTATAATGAATACTTATAAGCCCAACAACCAGTTTAAGATAATATCACCAGGTCTCCCGCCCAGTCTCCCAAATGGAGGTAAAGGTATCTATTCTGAATTTTTTGTTTTAAAAAAAGGTTTTAGCCCTGGCTAGTATGGCTCAGTAGATTGAGTGCCGCACGGAAAGACAGGGTTCGATTTCCAACAGGACACACGCCCGGGTCGCTTGGCTGGGTCTTGATCTGGGGGCGTGCGAGAGGCAACCGATCGATGTATCTCTTACATCAATGTTTCTCTACCTCTCTTTCTCCCTACCTTCCCATCTCTCTAAAAATAGATAAATAACATGTTTTTTAAATGGAAAAGAAAAGAAAAATAGTTTTATACTTACCTGGCTGGGTAGATACTATAATCACGAAGGTGGTTTTTCCCACGGCGAGGCTTATCCATGGCACCCTGGATGTGCTGACCCCAGCAATTTCCCCAAATGTGGGAAACTCGGCTGCATAATTTAAATTTTTTTAATCCTCAACAGAAGACATTTTTTTTTCATTGATTTCAGAGAGAGAGGAAGGGAGAGAGAGAAACATCAGTGTGAGAGACAGGCATCCATTGGTTGCCTCCCATACACGCCTGGAGCAGGATCATATGAGCAGGGACCTGGATCCAAACGCAACCTACGTAAGTGCCCTGACTGGGAATGGAAACTGCAACTTTTTGATTACAGGACATTGCACCAACCAACTGAGCCACACTGTCCAGGACAGCACTGCATAATTTTTGGTAGTGGGGGACAGCATCTACCCTGGCAAAAACAAAAGAGAGAAAGAAAAATAGTTTTATCATTATACATGCATCCCTAACTATGCATCCTTCTCACATAAAGTGTAGCTTGTGGACCAGCAGAGAGCTCATTGGAAATGCAGAATTTCATGCCCCATTTCTGAGCTACAGAATTAGAATCTGCATTTAACAAGATCCCCAGGTAATTTGTATATACACCAACATTTGGGAAGTGTTGCTTAGAAGGAATTACACCATATGGAATTATATGTAGCTATAGTTTTTTTTACTGCTGTATAATACTTCATTGTTTGGCTCTATCCAATTTATTAATCTTTTTTCCTTTTGGGTTTTTTTGAAGGGACTATTTTTTTTAAAAAGCCATGTTATTTATTCATTTTCAGAGAGATGAGAAGGGAGGGAGAAAGTGAAGGAGAGAAACACTGACTGGCTGCCTCTTGTTTGCCACCAAATGGGGACCTGGTGGCAACCCAGGCATGTGCCCTGACAGAGAATTGAACTGGGAATCATTCAGTTCACAGGCTGGCGCTCAGTCCACTGAGCCACACTAGCCAGGGCTGGAGGGACTATTTTTTTTTTAGCAGTGCTGGCAGTAACATTCTTGTAGGTCTTCTGTTGCACATATGCATACAATAACTTCTAATATCTTGGAGCAGAATTGCTGAGTTGTAAAGTATGTGCATGTTCAAACTTCCTACATTCTGTCAAATATTTAATGAAAGTGTTGTCCTTTGTTCCTCGTTCTCAATTATTTTTAAAAATTTTTGGTAACTTGAGGAGTATGTGGTGGTATTTCATTGTGATTTTAGTTTTAATTTCCCTGAAGAATAAAGGTTTCATATATGTTTACTCCATCTTGGAATGTCTTTTCATGTCTTTTGTCTATTTTTCTATTAGATTGTATGATAAGTAGAACAATGCCACCCCACCCCAAAGATGTCCACCCAGAACCTGTGAGTGAGTATGTTACCTTACATGACAAAGGGGATTTTGCAGATATGACTAAATTAAGGATCTGGAAATGATGAAATTATCCTGGATTGTTTGGGTGGGTGCCCTGTAATCACAAGGGTCCTAGTAAGTGAAAGAAAGAGACTGAAGAACCAGAAGAGATATGATGATGGAAGCAAAAGTCTGAGTGATGTGATTATTGGCTCTGAAGATGAAAGGGGTCCTTACTAGAGGAATATGGTCATCCTCTAGTAAACCCATAAAAGCAAGGAAATGGATTTTTCCCTAAAGTCTCCAGAAGGAACACAGCTGTGCTGACACCTTGATTTAAGCCCTGTGACTTTGGATTTTTGATCTCCAGTACTGTAAAGTAATAAATTTGTGTTGTCTTAAGTCATTAAGTTTGTGGTAATTTGTTACAACAACTACAGTAACAAACTTATATAGATTGCTTGCTTTTTTTTTTCCTGGTCAATTTGAAGGTGTTCTTTATATATCCTGGGTATTAATCCTTAACCAGTTATATATGGTACAAATATCTTCTCCCAGTTTGCACTTTATCTCCACCCTTCATATTCCCCTAGCCTCATTCCCTTCTAGCTCTTGTTCAACACGTCTGCAGCAGGACTCTTGGCTAACTTCCTTCTCCCCAAACATGATAAATAAGTAAATTATATGTTAGCAGGCACCACCTGAAACAATTCAGCAGGACTTAGAAGGGCTTGGGGTGAAGATGGGCTATAATTTTAAATAGGGCATGTCAGGGTAGGTTTTATTGAAGTGGTATTTAATAGATAGTCATGTGCATATCTAGGGGAAGAGGCAACAGTACAAATGCCTTAAGACAGGAATGTGCCTGGCATGTCAGAAAAGGTGTAACAACCATCTTGGTTGAAGCAAAGTGGGCTAGGCAGGGAGGCAAGGGGACTCACATAAAGAAGCTTGTTGGTCTTTGTAAGGACTTTTCATGCTGAGTTTTGTGCAGAGGATTGACATCTAACTTATGTTTTAGAAGGATCACCCTGATGCCATGTTGAGAACAGACTGTTGGGAGGCAGAGGTGGAAACAAACCATTTAGGAAGCTGTTGCAGTGATCCAGGTGAGAATGATGGTGGCCAGGACCAGGACAGGAGCAGTAGCAGGGAGATGATGATTAGAGGAGTCCCGGGATAATGAGGGAAGTCAAGGATGCCTCCAGTTTTTGGCCTGAGCACCTGAAAAAAAAGTACTCATCATATGACATAGGCAAAGGTGCCAAGTAGAACAGGTTTGGGGGTGAAGATCAGAAATTCAGTCTTGGCCATGTTGGGTTGGAGATGTGTATATTTCCAAGGAGAGAAGTCAAAGAGAAAGATGTGAATTTGGAGTTTTAAAGAAAAGGTTGGGGTGGAGAATTTAAAAAGAAATTGGGTATTATTGGCAAATGAATGGTATTTGAAGCTGTGAGTCAGAGTGAGGTCATTAAAGGAGTAAACATGGATAGAAAAGATAAGAGGACCACAATACTGGAGTCACTCTAGTGTTAAGAATTATTGGAAAGAAGAGGATGAATCAGGCAAGTAGAAGGAAACCAGAAGAATATGGTCTCCCCAAGGCAGGTGAAGAAAGTGTATGCAAGGGGAAGGAATTACCAAATTGGTCAAATGCTACTGATAAATTGAGTAGAAAGAGGAGGACTGAGAATAACTAGTGAGTCATTGATGACCTTGATTAGTTTCAGTGGAGTGTGAAGGTGAAAGAATGGCTAGAGAGGTTTAAGAAGAAAAAGGGTTTCATTGTAGGCAACTGGTTGGTATAGGTGCCGTTTGCATGAGCTTTGCTGCAAAGGTGAGCAGAGAAATGGGGCAGCAGCTTGTGGAGGAAGACGAATCAATCTTTTTTTGTTTGTTTGTTTGTTTACTCTGTGGGTTGATTCTTCCCTAATACCCACATATTGTTGATTGACATGCCTGTCTGTCCTACCTCCATAAACTCCCATATTTCCTTCTCTGTAGTCCATCACTCCTGCCCTGTTTCAGGCCCTCCTCATCTCTTGTCTGCATTACTGTAATATTGTCCAGTGTGTCTGCCGGGCTGCATAGGTCATCCTGGAAATCCCTGGCCATGGCTTTCCCTTGCTGACTCCTTTCCTAAGGAAGGAAGTTTGATGCCTGGATGGGGGGGATGGATGCTGTTTCCTGTGCAGGAATCAGAGTCCCAGCAGGAAAGAGAGAACAAACTCCAATTACAATAAGGTGAAGAGAATGTAATAAAGGAACTTCCCCTAAACTAATGGGCAGAGTATAGGAAAACCACAAAGGTTAGTGGTTTCCTGCGATGTGTGACCAGAGGCTCTGTAACTCCTAGGCTTGAAGAGTCCCTGGAAGGGTGGGAATGGAAGATACAAGCTCTGGAAATGTCTGCAAAGCTGAAGAGTGAGTTTTCCCTAAGAACTCAGAAATAAAGGTGGCTCCCGAGAGTTAGAAAAACCCACCCAGAGCAGATGTGGGAGTAAATCAAAGACCGTTGGCCTGTAAATGTGTGACCAAAGTGTTTGGGAACCAACTAAAGACCATCAAGGTGGTGGCTGGGGGCCCTTCAAGGGAATGGGGCTGGACTAGGACCCTAGATGTGTGAGAGCAGAAATCACATTTGTTATTTAGTGAGCTAATAAAGATAAAATGTTTACAACAGTGCGAAGCACTAAGGAAGTAGCTGCTATTGTTACGCCTAGCTTGGAGAGAGGCTTTGTGAACAGAAGAGAGATCACAGAAAAGAGCCATCTCAAAGCAGCTGGGAGAAACATGTATTCATGCTCTGGTCATAGAGATACTAAGCCAAACTGAGGCCTTAGAATCAAGGCTGCTACTACAGAGGGGGATAAGATCTTACAATTTCTTGGTTGACAGACTTGTCATACCATTCTCTTTTCCCATCCTGGGGGTTCCAGGTTCACAGTGCTAACCTTATGGTACCTGGGCTTCCTAAAGAGCAGCTCAAACTGCCTCGATCTATTGATGCAAAAATTCAGATTTTTTCAACCACAGATTGATGTTTCTTTCCCTCTCTTTCTCCTTCCTTTCCCCTCTGTCTAAAAGTCAATAAATTTTAAAAATCTAAAAAATAAAGACTTTATTTGGGTCAGATGCCAGCCTTGCACAGGGTGGGTATTGGATCTATTCACCAATAAATTTGAGTTTTGGAGCCAGAAGCCTGCAAATCACATCCCTCAAAATGGCCAGTGGTGTCCACCTTCAGCAGTACTGTCTTCTGCCAGTTAATCTGCAACAAGTGGGAAGAGTGAGAATGAGTGGGAAGTAAATCCTGGCTAGAGGGGTAGGTAAGGCTCCAGGGCATGGCCAGGAAGGGAGTAGGAACTGAAGCTTTTGCTTCACAATGCCTCCTCCTCCAGGAAGACTTCCTTGCTCCATTCAGGCTGGGATCTGTAGCACATTTCATGGGACTGGTCACCCTGGGTAGGGAGCATCTGTCTACCTCTCCAGACACACCTGAGCACCTGGAAAGTCAGGACAGTGTCTTATTCCTCTTTGTATCCCAGGGTCTTGGTACTGAAAAAGCTACTTAGTTAATGTTCCCTTGAGTGCATGAATTGGAATGAATGAGACAGAAACAGAATGGACGAATTAAGGTCAAGAGGGTGAATTGTAAACACTCCAGAGCAGGAACCCAGACTGCCTTGTGCTGTAATTCCAGGGCCCCTGAACAGTGCCTGGCAGTCAGTATCCAAAATGTTCCGGATGGGCTGGTCAGTGAAGGGTCAAATCCTCCTTGCCTCTTGCTGCAAGTCTACCCTGACCACCCCTCTCCCCTCGCTTCTGCAGTTGCTGGCAGACAGAACACCCGGTCCCCGCTGCTGCACGAAGCAACAAGGAACCAGGTGTGGTGCCTGAGCCTGTTTCTGTCGCTCAAAAAACTTCCATGAAGGAAACTTCCCAAGGCAGTTCCTGGCTCTGTCTGGCTAGGGTACTAGGACCCGCAGCAGCCCCTATCCCAGGCTTCTTCTGTGAGGGTGCTGCTGCCTCTGGGGGCCCACCCGGAGAAAAATCCCTGGCTGCACCGCCACTGCCCAGTCCCACCAGAGCGGAGGTGGGGAGCGTGTGTGACTCACCAGGCACCCTTCTTTAATCGCCTCTTGCGGTTCCGCTCTGGCACACTCCTTGCAGCCCCTCACTTTGCAAACTTTCAGAGTTCTCCTTCACTGGCGTAACGGAAAAGGCAGGGAGAGTGACTGGATCCTAGCAAGAGAGGAGGTGGCAGTGGCTGGCAGGGGAGGAAAGAGTTCAAGATGCTCAAGACCCTCAGGGCGACAGGTTTTTCTCCCCGAGGGCTGGCTGTTCTTAGAGGCTGGTATCCCAGCCCCCACCCCCTACTGAGTCCCGAGTCTTCTCCTTCTGGAATCCGGATCTCGCAGCGAGTGAGGGGCCATTGCACTGAGGTAAGCTAGGGGCAGGAGGGCCGGTTGGGCGGAGCCAGCGTCCCTGCCCTGCCCCTCGCAGCCCGGGAGCGCAGAGGAGTGAGTTTGCCTGCTTTCCCTCCCTCCATGCCTCTCCCAGCCCAGCTCCTCCCCCGCGGCTGTTTCCTCCTTCTCCAGGACGCCACCTCCCGGAATCGACTTTTTTTATTTTATTTATTTTTTACTTTTTGGAGCTGGCCAGTCGCTGGCTGTGCCGAGGGTCTGCGATTGCTGGAGGAGTGGGCTGGGGCGCAGGGGCCACAGACTGCCGCCCACTGCGGGACCCACAGAAAGGAGGCCGACCGGCCCGCCACGCCATCTGCTCGCTGGAGCTCACTCTGCAAACTCCTGTTGAGTGTATGCGTGCAGGACTGGGCGGGGGTTCTGTACGCCGGGCGCTGGGTGGCTTACCTTTGGACGGGGTCCTCGACTCGGATCGGGTCAGCTTCAGGCTCATAAACTGCTGAATAATTAGGCAAACAAAAGAGGCCACTCAACTGGTGGACAGAAATCGCCTGAGCGCCCCGTTGCTCCCTTCCTTCCTTTGGGTGGGGGCTGGCCACTTGGGTGAGGAGCGGGCGCTGGAGCGGTCAGGGGCCCCTTGGCCTGCCTGGTCTGAGAGTTGGCCGCCTGTTGTGTAAGCCTCGGTCCTTGTTTTCCCAGTCTGGCTCGTTGGGAAGCTGGACACATCCACCCTTGGACTGGATTCAGGAAGCCACTGCTTTTCTCATTGCCCTTCTTGGATTTTCTGGATTTTTGAAAACCCAGTGGCCCAAGAGGAGTAGGAAGGAGGAAGGAGCAGAACTTCAGAGGAATGTGACAGAGTCTTCCAAGGCCTGAGGAGCCAGAAGGAGCTGGGAGCCAGAGCTGCAGGCATTCTGGAACCATTTCGGAGCGATTCTCTTTTGTTTTAGAACGTTGTTCCAGTGGAAAGTGGAATACTTGCCCTCTCAGAGCTGATTTCTCCAAGTCACTTGACTTTTCCTCTGGAAGTGGGAGGAGGGAGAGACTCCCCTTCAGGGGCTGCCAAGGGAAGGGGGGAAGACTATGGATATGAGGTCCCCCTGCCCCCAGGCATGTGCTGGGGGACTTGATAAGGATGTTTCTGGGCCATGGGCACAGCTTTGAAGAGTAGGAGACTGGATAGCATCTCTGGGTGCTGAGACCTGCCTTAGGGACCGAGAAACTGAGCTGCTGGGACAGGCATTGGTTTGGTACCTTCCTGGACACCTCAGTTCTGGGCAGGACCCTCTCCTCATCTTTCTCTACCACTGGCCCAGCCATGGCACTGAAAGGCCGAGCCCTCTATGACTTCCACAGTGAGAACAAGGAGGAAATCAACATCCAACAGGGTGAGGACCTGGTCATCTTCAGTGAGACCTCACTAGATGGCTGGCTCCAAGGCCAGAACAGCCGCGGTGAGACAGGGCTCTTCCCTGCCTCTTATGTGGAGATCATCCGTTCTGGCACTAGCTTCAACCATGCTGACTACTCCAGCAGCCCTGCAGGCTCTCCAGGCACCCAGGTGAGCTGGTATGACAGCCCCAGTGTGGCCAGCCCTGGGAGCAGTGGGGGCAGTTGCTTCCTGTCAAACCAGGGTAGCTTTGAGGAGGACGATGATGATGACTGGGATGACTGGGACGATGGATGCACAGTAATAGAGGAGCCACGGGCTGGTGGACTGGGCACCAATGGGCACCCCCCACTCAACCTCTCCTACCCTGGTGCCTACCCCAGTCAGCACATGGTCTTCCGGCCCAAGCCACCCCTGGAGAGACAGGACAGCCTGGCATCTGCCAAGCGAGGTAGTGTGGTGGGACGCAACCTCAACCGTTTCTCATGCTTTGTGCGCTCTGGAGTAGAGGCCTTCATCTTGGGTGATGTGCCCATGATGGCTAAGATCACAGAGACATACTCCATTGAAATGGGCCCTCGTGGCCCCCAGTGGAAGGCCAACCCCCACCCATTTGCCTGCTCCGTGGAGGAACCCACCAAACAGACCAAATTTAAGGGCATCAAAAGCTACATCTCCTACAAGCTCACGCCCACCCATGCTAGCTCCCCTGTCTACCGGCGTTACAAGCACTTTGATTGGCTCTATAACCGCCTGCTTCACAAATTCACTGTCATCTCTGTGCCCCACCTGCCAGAGAAGCAGGCCACAGGCCGCTTTGAGGAGGACTTTATTGAGAAGCGGAAGCGGCGGCTCATCCTCTGGATGGACCACATGACCAGCCACCCTGTGTTATCCCAGTATGAAGGCTTCCAGCATTTTCTCAGCTGCCTGGATGACAAGCAGTGGAAGATGGGCAAACGCCGGGCAGAGAAGGATGAGATGGTGGGTGCCAGCTTCCTTCTCACCTTCCAGATCCCCACGGAGCACCAGGACCTGCAGGATGTGGAGGATCGTGTGGATACCTTCAAGGCCTTCAGCAAGAAGATGGATGACAGCGTCCTGCAGCTCAGCACTGTAGCGCTGGAGCTGGTGCGCAAGCATGCAGGGGGCTTCCGCAAAGAGTTCCAGAAGCTGGGCAATGCCTTCCAAGCCATCAGTCATGCCTTCCAGTTAGACCCCCCCTTTAGCTCTGAGGCCCTCAACAGTGCCATTTCTCATACGGGCCGTACTTATGAAGCTGTTGGTGAGATGTTTGCTGAGCAGCCCAAGAATGACCTCTTCCAGATGCTCGACATGCTGTCTCTCTACCAGGGTTTGCTCTCCAACTTCCCAGACATCATCCACCTGCAGAAAGGTAAGAGCCAGTGCAGCGTGTCTGGAGACCTGTAGTGAGTCTGCACTCTGTTGGATGTGGGGTTGTGAACATGGCCTACACAGGTGGAACAGCTCATCGAGTCTTTCTGTCTTCGTCTTGTTCATTCATTCAACAAGTGTGTTGAGCACCCACTATGTGGCAGGTGCTATTCTAGGTGTAGGGATGTTATTGTGAATAGATCTGGTCTCTGTCCTCGTGGAGCTTGCTGTTTACCTTCTTGTTGTCCTTTCCTTCCTTTCTCATTGTTTTCTTCTGTTTCTGTCTCACTTTCTCATCATTGCATTATACAATGAACCCTTCAAGGTGTCAGGTTGGGTCTGGGGACATGGAGATGACCAGGGCCTGGACCTTGCCCTCGAAGAGCCTCCACAGCTATAGACCCAGACAGTGAGCACAATGTGGCCTATCTTCCCTCTGAGTCACAAGCTCACCTCCCTTCAAAGTCTGTTCTCACCATTGCATGTCCTAACTGCAAGTTCCCAATCTGTGTACCAAAGGTCATTGGTCCCCATTTTGCAGATGAAAGGTGGTGTCCACCGAAGAGTGGTTGCACAGGGAGCCCATGGCCCGTCTGGGACTCTCCCTTCTTTCTGTGCCTACCCAAGCACACGTCCATGTTGGCCACCTCCCAAACCTGGCCATGTTTTCAGTTCTCACAGACCCTGTGTAGGGGAGGGACAGGATGGGCCCCTCTCTGTTACTGCAGGGCTGTCAAGGAACTGCCAGGGAAGTGACTCATCCTGGGTTACCCAGGGGCACCTAGGCTGGGCTGGGGAGGAACCAGGGGCTCACGGCCCATCTAACTCTCCTTTCCTGAGCTGTCTTCTTACCTGAACAGTGAGTGGGGCCAACCTGACCTAACGGGTGACTGAGTTCTGGGGACAACAAGCAGGTCAGATGTCAGAAGAAGGTGTGGTCCTCCCTGGGGCTGCTTAGTAACTCAGGAAGACTGTAGGGCGTGGGGCTGGCTCCTTGGCCCCTAGGCCTTGAGGTCAGGCCTGGCTTGGTTGGGAGTTTTTCTCTGGGTGGGGCCAGGAGTCAGACCTCTGGATTATGCCTGGGGGTCAGCAAAAGCCACCCCCAGGTGGTCTTCAGTATCCAGGAGTGTCTGGTGCGAACCGGCCCTGCTCTCCTTAACCAGGAGGTCGTCCTTGGTAGGTCCGAGCTTCCTTTCTCCTTTCACTTTCTCTTTTCTCTCATCTCCTCATTCCTGTCCTCCTCCTTCCCTCTTCTTTCAGCTTTAGGAGACTTGAGCCCTGAGCTCTAGTCTTGGCTCTTCCCCCTGGAAAGTGCCTTCCTGTCTCTGGGGCTTAGTTTCCTGATTTATAAAACAAGAAAAAGTAGACTCAGCCAGCCCATAGGCCCAGGGTTGGGGAGGGAGACACCTCGGAGGGTCTGGCTGAGGACAGTGATGCCTGAGATCTAGCTCTGAGCAGGGACAGGGCAGGGGAGATGGCCTGGCTGGTTGGGGCCCACTGGGGCAGGTGTCTCCCTGGTTCAAAGAGGAGCCACACCCACTGCAGCCTTAGGGCCTTGGAAAGCCTGTTCAACCAGTTCCTTGGGTGGCATGTTTCTATGAGGGCAGTGGGAGGGGGAAGCAGGGGCACAGTGGTTAAACTGCTTCTAAACCGCTGCTGTAGGGTGCCTGGGGACTTTCACCCAGGGCAGAGCTGGGTGCATCAGGCAGCCCCATACCCAGGGCTCCGAGGCTTGTACTGAAATAGAAGGGAGTGAAGCCAGACTGGCCTTTCTGACTCTTGGGCAGGGAGACAGAGCTAAGAGAGGCCATTTCTGACTTTCCACTTGAGGTGTTTCTAAGAATGGGTGGCCAACAGTCCTCTGGCATGATGCATTCAAGCTCAGGCAGAGTCCAGCCCACCTCTCCAATAAGCAAGCCCCCTCTGGGCTTATTCTTTCTCCTTCTGGACTCTGCACTGCCATTCCTAGGCCTGTGTTCTGGTGAGTTAGGGAGGGGGCTTGGAATCTGGCTGACACAGGATTGGGCAGGTTTTGGAGGCCCATAGCCTGCTGGAAGGAGGAGGGATCCCATGGTGGCCCTGCACTGGAGCCTTTTCTCAGAGAAGGGAGCAGGGAAAGTGGGTGCTCAAGATTCTGTCCAGCTTGTCTGGACATCTGAAATATGGTGAGGGTGTGGGAGAGGCCATGGAAGAAAGGAAATGGGAGGCCTAGATGGGATCAGGAGGCCAGAATTTGGACAAACATTGAGACAGTGACCTTGAGAGAGTTCTCTCCCATCAGTGTTTACCTTAGTGAAATGGGACACAGAGTCTGGGTGACGCTAAGATGAGGCTCACCAGCCTGTCTGCCCACTGGTCCAGCCCCTGGACTTAGTCCAAACCAGGGCAGTCTTGAGGGCGTAAGGGGGCTCTGATAATAGTTTCCTTGGGACAACAAGGGGAAACAGTGACTGTCTAGGGCTCCCATCTGAGAGCCGTGGCTCCATCCTAAGACTCATCACATCCAAGCCAGGAAGGCCAATGGGCACCCTCCATTTTTCAGAGGAGGTGCAGTGAGGTGGGATGTTGAGCAGAGCAGAAATTGGAGCCCAGGTGTGTCTGACTCCACAGCATTGTGTCCACTGTGCCTGACAGATGAGGGAAGGAGCTCCCCCAGGGATGGCCGCCTGGCGTAGATGAGCTAAGAGGGGAAGGAGAAGGAAGGGAGGCTTATCTAAGCCTAATCTCTAGCGCTAACTTACCTAGAATCCTTGGTGGGCTGGAGGCAGTCCCAGAATCACAGAGCATGCATGGAGGGGCCAAGGAGCTTCTAGATTGGCCAAAGTAAAGTGGCTCTTGCAGGCCAGGCACCTGCCTTGGGTCAGGTGGGCCCTCTGTTCTGGGCCATCATCTAACCCTCCCTCTACCAGCCATCCTAGGCTTCCATAAACAAAGAGAATTATCTCCATGAACCACCCCACCTGCTGGTTCTTGCTGTGACTAAAAAGCAGTTTGCACACAACTGCACGCAGCATCTTGAACTCTTATTGCTGTCCTAAGTACTTTATGAATATTAATTCAGCCAAACCTCAGTTAATCTCAGTTAAATGGGTAAGGTACTCTTACCCATTTTTCAGATGTGGGAACTAAAGCATTATTCTGCCGTGAGCAGTTGTTAGTAGCATCATATTTAGTCCAACCTGACCCCTGTGACATTGGGAGACCTGTAGACCAGGCAAGGAGAGTGGCTTGCTAGAGGTGACACAGTGAGGACCAGGATGTAGGACTCCTGCCCCCAACCTGGAGCAGATGGTGACAATCTCCAAAAAGCGGGACAAGACTAAGGCAGGACTATGCCTGGACCCCAGCACTCAGAAGCTCCAACCTCCCTTCCCCTCTTTCTGGGACCCCACCTATAGGACAACTGCCATGGCAGGAGGCTCCCTGGGTCCTCGGCTCTCAGGTTGAGTCCAAATTAGAATGAAGGGTGGGTGCTGGACAGGCCAGAGCCCTGACTCCCAGCCAGTTTCTGGGGCATGTTCGTGTTAGCTGGTCTAGGCCCCAGATCTGAGTCACAGGGTGGAGAGGTGACGGAGATCAGGGTGGGGCCTCCCCTTTTCCCTTACTCCCTGGCTCCTTGCCTGTCTGCCTGTCTTTGAATACCTAGCAATTGCAGTCGATTCATTTCTATTCTTTGGGCCTTAATCTCCTTATCAACAAAAGGGGCCTTTCCTTCCTCCAAGGCCATGGGCAAGAAGTACCCTCTCAAGTACAGGTCCACCCTCACTGTCCCTGGACTTTCTCAGGCAGGTGGAATCCAGTCTGGTTTGTGTTTCCTCTTCCAGTAGGTTCCTTTTTCTAAAGCTTAACTTTAGTTTCTTTGTCCTGTTGTTTTCTACCTTCCTTTTTGTAGTCCTTCTTTATCCCTTTGGACTTTCTCAAATCCCTGAGTCCATTGTCTGGGGGCCCCACACGAACGCCTGGCTGACCTGGTATGGGCACCCTGCAGTGGAAGTCATGTCTACCTCCAAGCCGTGGAGGGATACCTCTGGGCCAGGCATCTCCTATGTGAGGGGCAGGAAGGAGGTGGGAGCCCCTAGGCAAGTTTCTTCCCTTATGGCTTCAGTTTCCTCTATATGGCAGGGGCCTGGAAGATAGGCAGGGCATCTGGCCTGCTGCTCTGAAGTCTTGTATTGATCTTCATCGCAGGCTTTGAACTGATGCTGCTTTTGCTGCTCAGGTCTGGGCAATGGGGGTGGAACAGGACTGAGTGGGCTGGGAGCTGGTGACTACAGGGTTCTCACGAGTGCTGTGAGCAGCCCTGGAGACAGTCCAAACTTGAGTCTGTCCACTCAAAATGACAGTATTAACCAATTAGCTATGTACTTGTTTACTAATATGGGTGCCGCCGGTTCTAAAAGCTTCCAGAGCTATTTCCAGAATTAGAGCCCTGGGCCTGGCATATAATAAATGATTAGGAAATGGATCTTGAATGAAGTAAACAATTTGAGGGTAAAAAGAATACATTTTGAAAACCCTTGAGAAGCCTCCTTAAAGAAGCAATGTGAAGCATGGACAGTGAGCATGTTAGTTTTGTGCAGTGGATCCTTTTGAAGTACTTGGGAGGGTGCTGCCCACTGTGCCATCCCTTCCCATCTTCTTATTCTCTGCACAGTGGATTCTCTACACCCACTGCCAAACGGCCCCCCCTTCTTAGCAACTGTCCCCACTAGCTTCAGTGCAGGATTAGTCAAGTACCAGTTAATTCAGAACTGGAATCTATTCACCAGTTGTTTGTTGATTCATTCAGATTCTTCCAAAGTGGGTCACCTGCCCAGGTTTATCTCTTGCCTTCCATTTGTCACCTGGTTATTACAAAGGCCTCCTCTAGTCCCCTGGGAGCTGGAGTGAGGAGGGGCCAGAGCCTGTCTGTGGGGGAGACACACACAAAGGAAATCTCCAGGTGGCCTTTGAGGCTCTGTTTCAGAATCAGCAGTGTGGTGGGGTGGGAAGCATTGTGCTTGGGAGCTCTGGTACACCTGATGGAAGGCACTGAATTGAGCACAGGGATCCAGGGGTCAGAGAGGTGAAGTTAGGAAAGAGCAGGGTGAATCTGATGAACATGGGGTCAGTGTGGAATGGGTTCAGGGTCCAGCTCCCAGAGGGCCTCATGAATGAGTGTGGACCTTGATCTGCAGACACAGGGGAGCCAGGGAAGGCTTGGGTGTCCAGCTTAGCTACTCTTCAGCTGCTTTAGAAAACCTCCCAGGGGGTGGGACTGAAGTGGGGAGACCCTGGGAGGCTGTTGTAGTTGTCCAGTGAGGAACAGGCTGGATCAGCTCAGTGGTCATGTATCAGGATTTGCTGTGGGCTAGGCTTTGTTCTGGGTGCTGAAAACATTGAGCTCACAGCCCAGAGGGAGGCAGTTAGAGAAACCACAGGGTGGTAAGAGCTGTGGGAGCGCTGAGAGCACCTAATGCAGTGGGGGTACTGGGGGGGCTTTCTGGAGGTAATGTTTGAGCTGAATTAGGACATCCTAGTCCTAGAAATCAGTGTAGCAAGCAGAGCTGTGACTACTTGGGTGTGGGCTGCTGATAGTGCCACAGATTTGGGTGAGGATTGAGGACATCCTGGTAGAGATTCCTAGTGGCTGGACCAGGGGGAGTATTGGAGCTGGAGCTGATAAGGGTACTGTCTGATAAGGCTGCTGACTGCCCTTGAGGAGACTCGTGGAGGGTTTAGGGAACATACTGGGGAGACCAGAGCCCTAACCTCCCTTGTCCTCTGCTCTGCCTGTGCCAGGCGCCTTTGCCAAGGTAAAGGAGAGCCAACGCATGAGTGACGAGGGCCGCATGGTGCAGGATGAAGCGGATGGCATTCGCAGGCGCTGCCGTGTGGTGGGCTTCGCCCTGCAAGCCGAGATGAACCACTTCCACCAGCGCCGTGAGCTCGACTTCAAGCACATGATGCAGAGCTACCTGCGCCAGCAGATCCTGTTCTACCAGCGGGTAGGCCAGCAGCTGGAGAAGACACTGCGCATGTACGACAACCTCTGATCTCAAGTACCTGGCCCCACCCTGCCTTCGGCCCGGTCACTGCAATGTACTCTGGTTTCCAGACCTCCCACACCAGCAGTAGCTGGGGGTGGGCTCTGGAAGAGTCACGGTTACTCCTGGGGAAGTCTCTTACTCCTTAGAGGTCAGGGCACAACAGGGGTGAGAATGGGGCCGGGAACCCTCCAGGCTGAAGCCTGGGCTGCTGGTCAGTCACTTGAGGCCAGGCCAGGGTCTTAGCCCACCTTAGAGCCTTCAGAGCTTGTTCTCCTGGCTGCCACCCACTCGTTCACTCAGCAGACACGGGGGTCAGATGCTGGACACCAGGGCTGTGACATGCTTGCCCTCAAGGTGTCCCCAGTCAAGGTGGGGATCAGACACAGAAACAGATGGGGGTGGTGCGGAATTACCCACAGTAAATAAGGGTCCCTGGAAGCTCACAGAGGAGACCACTCATTTTACCCATCAGGGAAGACTCCATGGTGCAGGTGACATTCAAGAAATGTCTTGAAGAATGACAAGGACCTGCCAGGTAGTAAATGGGTGCAGTAGATAGGACATTCAGAAGAGAGGTACAGCATGAGCGAAGGTACAGAGGCCTGAAAATACCCTTCCTCTCCCCCTCATTTTTCCTACCTTGCTTCCCTACCTTGATGGGGAGGGATCTTCCTTGTTCCCTCATCATCTCAGTCCCTGTCCCTCTCCAATCCCCACCCCTTGTGGAATGGGCTGCTGGCCAACTCCCTCCTGACCCCCATTCACCTGCTAAGCCCCTGTTGCCCTTGGTTAGGGACCATGCAGCATCTTTCCCCTGGGCTCCAGGTGCTAAGACAAGTCATGGACTCTAGGACCCTGCTGTTGTCTTCCTGGTGGGGACATCCAAAAGGTACCAGATTTTTGAGTTCACTAAGCAATAGCTCCTCACACTCCAGCAGGCTCTCACCCCAGGCTCCTGGGGTCCTCTACCCTGTGAATCCTGGAATCCTTCCTGGTGCACAGTGGGAGACCCAAGGGGAAAAGATAGGCTGGCCTGCCTACTACCCCAGGGACCCTGAGCCCACCCACCCATGGCTAGCCTCACTGCAGTGCCCACCTGGGTCCTGGCCATTTGTTTACATCCTCAAGGGGGGCTACTCCTACCCCCCAGGCCAGGGCCTGGTCCAGCATCGGGTTGGGTAGAACCGACAAGTGCCACTGCTAGCCCCTCCAGGAGGTCACGGCCATTCCTGGCTGCTGCTGCTGCTTGAATATTTTTTCTTTTTTTTTCCTGATGAACCTTTTACAATTAAGATAATAAAAAACATGACTTTTTAATTTAGATCCTAGAGAAGATGAAGGTGGGGGAAGGATAGAACACTAGTTGTCCCTGAGGCACAAAATTTGCCCCAGAACCTCAACAGCTCAGGGGCGGGCTGTGCTGGTGGGAGGTGCTGTCTGGGGATCTGGAGGTGGCCAAGGACCCCAGCTGGATGCACACCCTTCCCAGACCTCACTCACATCTCACCAGCGGTGGCTTCTGCCAGGGGGTTGGCTCTGTTGCTCTTATCTATGGCTACGTGTTGCATGAGAGAGGAATGGGAGGCTATGTCCCAGGACAGCCTCATCAGTGGGGTTCCTCTCCCCAAGAGACCTCGGTCCAGGAGAAGGGGACGGAGCTTAGAAATGGTCATTTCCCAGGTAGTCCTGGGTGTCCAGCTGTGTGGTAACTTCCGTGTTGGAAACTGAGGACACCCCAGCCCTGCCCTTGGGATTGCCCCAGGGAGCGTGAATGGGAATCTGCACACGTGGGAAAGAGGAGTGTGGTGAAACCACGGTGCTCTTTTGGGGCAGCGGAGACTTGGTGCAGGGAGGAGAGCTGTGGTCCAGGCATCAGGGGGTCTCTGGCCAGGCCAGGGGCCCAGGAGCTGGGGGCAGGTGGAGTGGGGGAGCGGGCTGCAAGGGCTCCCTATTCAGGGCAGAACGTCCTCAGGAACTTCTGGAATGGGCCCTTGATCCTGGGTCAAAATTAGGTCAGATTTGGGACTTTCTGTGGACCTTGCCCCTCCTTCCTGCCTGCCCTCCTCCCCTCATTTCCATCTCCTCTGAGGACCTTTCCTACCTTAATCTTTTCTTAGCTTTGACATTCATGTCCCCTCTGCAGAGGGAAACCTGACCACAGCAAGGGGCAAGGGGAGGGGGAGGGTTGGTGGCTCCTTCTTGAGGCCAGTCTGGGTGGGATGGGAATGTTCTTCTTAAACCCACAGTGCCTGGAAAGTCCCCACTCGTGCTTCCTGCCCTGGACCGCCCTCTCGTATCCCTTCCTTGAGAGGGGCTGCCTCCTACAGCTCTCCTCCTCAGGGAGTGGGGGTTGGACCTAGGAGAAGAACCAGAATGCAAAGTCTCGGGTTGGCCAGGCCTACTCTAGGTATCCTGAGGTCTCTAGGCTGAGATATCATGTATGGTGGGGGCTGAGAATATCACAGCCCCTCTCTGTGATTTCCGTCTATGCGTGGGTTGGGGTGTTGGGGGAATTTGAGATCTGTTGGCCTTGGGAGAATAATGTGGGGAGTATCCTGGTGGTGACATGGTTTGCTGGCTGGCCTCTGTTACATGCCAGGCACATGTTCCAGACTGAGCTGGGCCAAGCTGCCTCCAGTTCCCTCTCCCATTTGGCTCGGAGACAGGTGGAAAAAAGGTCTCTCTTTCTGCCCTGGGCAACTACTGGGACAGAACTACCAAACCTGAGGGTTTAGGACCCCTGATACCCAGTCTTGGCACAGTCCAGGGAAGGAGTCTGTTTTGCGGCTGTATGTGGGGTGGAGAGGTGGTTCTCAGACCCTGCATCCTGTTGTCCCCCGGACACAGGAGGGCTGTGAACCACTGTGCCACATCTGGAGCAGCGCAAGGGCTGGGGGGGAGACATGGTCCCAGGCCCAGCTCACCACTGCCCCTCCATCCACTGACACAGCCACACAGCCCTCCTCACATCCACACAGTCCCAGACACTATGGCCCAACTCAAAGCACATATAGCTACACACAGCTGCACAATTCCTCTATAGGCATGTAAGTCACACCTGGCGATATGCACACATATGCATGGTCATGTGCTCTCACAGTTGCACTCCTAGCTACAGTGCCACACACACTCACATTCACAGCTACGGCCACACATGTCATCTATTCACAGCATCAGTCTCAACTGTGTTATATCACTCACAGCCATTCCACAATCTCATGCACACAGTCGTACCCTCATACGGTGATACACATATACTGCCATAAAGTCACACATGCACATAGGAAAGGTGTCACACACGTGTAGCTGTACCTGGACCACATCTGCTCCACCTTCTGGGGGAGCCAGCTAGGATCATCCATCACTGGACACTACAATGTCCAGTTCTTCGTGGACATACAAGGAACTTGAGGTCTAGTGGCTGGTGGAAGTCAGCTGCATTACCCAGTGTTCCTCGGGGATGGGGGTGCTTCAAGCTAGCGCTCAGCTCCCTGTAGGCTATGTGGCCTGGCCTTGCCTGCCTCCCCCCACGCTGCCCGTGCCCAGGCCAGTCAATAGGTTCAGGCTGCCTCCGAAGTCCCCTGGATGAAGCCACAAAACAAGTCTCCAGGCATGTCTCCCACTTCTTGAACCAGAGCTGAGGCAGCTGTGTCCATAAGAACAGGAGCCAGGATGCAGTGGACAGAGCTCAGGCCTTGGGCTGGAGGAACATTCCTGCACCATCTCCCCAAGCATGCAAGGACTGGGCCCGCCCTGACTGCCTACCCGCTGACTCAGATCTCCAGGAGCCAAGCCTTCTCAGTTCCTTGCCTCTCCCCGTTAAACCTGCTGCCCCACCAATTCAGCTCCGGCACCTCTCTCACTGGGAAGGGTAGAAAGAGATGGTGAGCCCTAGCAAAAAGATCATGGGGAACAATAAAAATTTACCTCCCCGGACTTAGCTCAGGAAGGCCAATTGGGAAACGCCTCTTTGGGGTTCAGCATAGCTTAACACAAACCTTTTTTTTCCTTAGGTTTTATTTTGTTAGTCAAAGCTCAGTGCAGTCCCGTTTGTTTAAGAAGCGGTGTCTCTCACACAGCTGTGGAGGCCACGGGAGGCCACAGCCTCCTTGGTCCTTACAGCAGCCTTGCTAGGTGGGCATCATTGTTCTATTTCATGGGCAAGAGACCACGACCTGGCCAGAGGGAGGATAGGATCTGCCTAGACTCACACGATGAGTCTGAGGAGGCTTGAATCCAGCTCTCTGGCTTCATTCCTTAACTCGTTTAGGTTCAAAGGAAGAGGGGGTGGCAGATTTCTACTTCAGAGGTGGGAAAGAATGAGAAGGCTGGTGAACCCAGCTGCTGAAATGTGAAGGGCTCAAGGGTAGGTGGGCCCCACCAGGCCCCAGAGATGAAGAGGCTGGTGGCGGTGGCACTGCACGGAGGGACTCGGACTCCCTTACAGATGAACGTCTGAGGAGCGCCGCTTCATTTTTCTATAACCAACCTGAATTCCTTTCTTGCTGTTTCAGTGCCCCACATGTTAGAAAATTAATCTCAAATCATATGGGGACCACTTCTTTCCTGAAGGATGCATCTACATTTTGGGGGTGGCACATTTGAAGACCGTAGGCAGGTCCCTGGCACTTTGAATTTTGGAGGCCGAGCCCCACACTCTGGCACACAGGACATTTTGCTGGCATTCCACATTAAAAGTCATTAATATATACCTATTTGAGTTGGGTTCATTGCTACTCGACCATGTCTTGTCTTATGGATATTTAATTAAACTCTATTAATTTCGATTTTGTCTTTTTTTTTTTTTTGCCTTTTCTCTGGTCGGCTCCCTTCACCTGCAGCCTTCCCACCTGCTTTGATTCCCATCCTGAGGCCTCCGGGGCTCGTCCTTTCTCTGCTTTGGCCCTCTCAGTTGCCTTTGTACCTTGTGGGGTCAGGGGTGGCAGTGTCCCTTCTGGACTTGTGGCCATCAATCCAAAGCTCCCATCTCACGCTCAAGCACAAGGAGTTCTGGAGGCTGCTTAGAGACGCTGCAGCCCTCTGTTAGCCCAGTGCAGGCAGCACTGTGATGGACGCTGGGTGGTCAGCATTTCATAACCACCCTGTGTACAAGGGGCCAGGAAATGAAGCCCAACGAGGCAGGTGCTGGAGCGTCCCAGGCCGGTGTGAAGCCGCCTGTGCAGTCCTGGGCCACCGGTGCTGGGAGGGAAACAGCTGAGGCCTGAGGTAGAAGGGCTGGCTGGAGCCTCAAGGAATCTGGAGACTTCTGGTCTGGCAGAGTGGCAGGAGGGCTCTGGGTGGGGCGGGGGAGTGTGCGGCTCCTTCGGACAGCCACGATGTACCCCCCCCCAGATACCAATAAGCTCTCTGGCTTCTTTCCCTGCTCTATCCAGAAGCAGGACCCAAGTGGCCGAGCCCAAGCACAAATCCTACCCTGTACATACTTGTTTTAGGGATATTTCTTAACTAATCCATGCTTCCATGAGTCTATTTATAACAGGAGTGGCAGATGGCTTTTAGCAAAAAAAAAAGCTACATAAACAAAATGGGTCAGCTGGGCAGTGCCTGCACGAAGCAAGTACTTAGTAATGAGCCTCGAGGATTATAAGCCTTTGAGCAGAAACTTAGAGCGGTTCAGGCCAAGAATATGGGTGCTTCATTTTGTAGGTGAGAAAACTGACTGGGTGAGACCTTCAAGGCCACATTCAGGGTAAACGGCAGGGCCTGGGACCAGGCCTACTCCCAGACCTTGAGCCTTGCACGTATTGCCACCCTGTCTTCGTGAGAGCAGACTCGGGGGGGCTTCCAGGCTGTCACGTTATCTGTCAGTACCCACTGGGCCACAGGCCGTCGTGTGTTCCACTGCACACAGGACAGCATGGCCCAGGGGTTACGAGGCAGGCTCACTCCTCGGGACTACCCCTACGGACTACCCCTACGGACTCCCTCTGTGGATTCACTGGGGGACCTCAGGCAAAGTCACCACTCGGTTTTTCCCCACATCGCTCAAGTTATGGTCATCACAATTACATAGGGACATGAAATCATGACTGTGGGCACTGCCACTGTCCCAGGTGTGTTGCGCCCTCAAAGCTGCCCAGGCCAGTAAAGCAAGGGTGGGCTCGAGTGCACAACAGCTACTATGTGCTGGGCATCACGCTAAGGGTCTTCCGTGACGGCCTGACAGGTGAGAACTACTGCTGACCTGTCCCTGCAGATGGAGAGGCTCTGAGTGCCCTGTGAGGGGCTGTGCAGCAGCTCCACCGTGGGAGGAGGGTGGGGGGTGGCCGTCCTGCAGAGTGAATGCGGAGGTGCTGGGAGCTGAGGAGAGTCGGGGGGCAGGTGGTGGGTACTGGGTGAACGTGGCTGTGGGCCTTCGAGTCAAGGTGAAAAGGCAGACAGGGCTTGGCCCAGAGAGAGCACTGAGCAAATATTTGAGTGATAATCTTCCGTATGGCTTCAGGCTGGGGTGTGAGAATAGGATCTGATCATGGAGGAGGGGCCTGGAGTCAGGGGCCAGACTGGTCTCTGAGAAGAATCTGAATCAGGAACCTCCTTGCTAAAGGAACCAGAATGGGCAGGAGTGAGAGTTGATAGAGAAACACTGGAGGTGGGGGGCATGTCCTGTGAGTGACAAGGCTGAACTGGGAAAGATGGCGGTGGGGCTTCGATGTGGGAGAGAGTAAAGCAGCAGATGTTGAGTGGTGGGGTCTGTGCCTATGCCTGGTGCCCTGGAGTGTGTGCATCCAGCTGTGTGGTGGCTGAGTGTGTCTATGTGCACCGGGGCCTGACTGTATAGTCCTTGGTGGGGGGTGGGGGTGGGGCGCATGTTACACCCAAAGTCGCAGGTTTCCCAGCCTGAATGAGCTACCTCTCACCCCAGAGCTCCAGCCCAGCCTTGGAATCATGCTCAGCTCTTCTTTCTCTCACACTCCACATCTTCTCCACCAGCAAAACTTTGTTAGGTCCTAAAAAGGGGTCCCAACCTGACCCATTTCATCATTTCACTGCTTGCCCCTCAGCTGCTGATATGCCTGCCTGGACTGTTACAGCAGTCTCCGAGCTGCTCTCTGCTCTCTTTTCTGCTCCACGTCAGTCTAACAGGAGCCAGAGTGACCTTTTAAAACCATGTTCTAAATCAAATTATGTCCCTCCCCTGCTTTCAACCTCCAGGGCTTCCTGCCATTTGCAGCATAGATTCCAAACTCCTACCATAGACCACAAGGCCTCTCTCTGATCTCACTGTGGAAGCAGAACTGCAGGCCCACCGGCTGGCTATTCCTTACATAAGCCAAGCTTGCTTGTGCCTCAGGGCCTTTATACTTGCTGTCCCCTCTGTGTAGCATGTTTTTCCTCCCAGTGTCTGCTTCGTTCACACTTCAGTTAATTTAGGTCTTTGCTTACATGTCATCTCCTTGGAGAAGCCTTCCTGATCATCCAAAGAGTCTTTCTAGTCAGTCGTCTGTCCCCACACCCTGCCTTTTTCTCTTTGTTATACTTATTACCAACTGCCAATTATGTATGTGTATGTATTTAACTTTTTATTACGGAAAGCTTCAAACATGCAGCAATAGAGAAACTAATACAGTACAGTGGATCCCCAGACTCAAACATTATCAACCCTGGGCAATATTTTATTCCCCCAGATCCTTTGCTTCCCACAAACTCTAGACATCACACAATCTTATCTGTAAATACTTCAGTGCAAAAGTTAGATTTTACATGTCTCTGTTTGTTAGGAGGCAGCCTTCAGGGCAGTTGGTTTTCGTTTGTCTGTCTTGCTCACCGCTTGTGTCCTCAGTGCCTAGAGCAGTATCTGGCTCATAGCAGGTGATTGGGGATGCCTGCTAGGCTGTGTCTCAGGTCTCCGAGGAGGGTGTGTTCAGGTTCTAGTTTGCACAGGCCCACTGCAGCCAGTGAGTACGCCTGCACACGACTGTGCACAGCTGCATGGGGCAGTCCCAGGAGCACGTGTGCTGCCACAGCAACTGGTTTCTGAATGCATGCTTCCGCCCTGACATCATCTCCCACCTTCTAGGACCCAGGACTTGCTCTGGGGAGCGTTCCTTTCCTTCCCAGCAAGGCACGGGTGTGAAGGGATAGGAGAGGGTAAGCACCAGACCCTGCCCCACCCTCGGGAGGGCTGGCTTGAAGCTGGGGTGGCCTAGAGAGTCCTTCCCTGTCCTTCTCTGGCTAATAGGGGGCTATGTTGTCCCAGGTGGCAGAGTGGGCAACCTCCTTCTTCCCTGGCACTGGAGCTCAGCCCACCATTGCTGGCATCAGCTGGGTGGGGTACGGGGTATGCATGTATGCAGGGTGGGGATATCCTTTCCTGGCCAACTCCTGAGGCTTCTAGGATGACCCCTGGGTAGTAGGACAACGGAGGCCACTCAGACTGGGGGCAACTGAGTACAAAGTTCTGGCCCAGGGTTTTTGCAGTCCCTCCCCCCATTTCTTCATCTTAAAGGATTTGACCCTGAAAGGTGGGCAGTGGTGGAAGAACATGCCTCCAGTCCAGTACCAGGTGTACTCCTGGAAGCCACTCCCTATCAGATTGGGCCTTTCACAGCTTCTTTCAGCCTGGTCCCCAAAGCCCCTGTCTCCTCCAGGAAGCCTGTGTTCTGGCCCTCCCTGAATCCACCCATCCCATACTGCCCTCTTTCTCCAAGGTAGGCCATATGGTCCCAGCCCTCCCCACCCCCAACCTCAGGGATGGTCCTCTGAATCAGTGGGGTAGAGGTGGAGAAAGGGAGGTCAGAGTGGGGTTGCTATCTTCTACCCCAGAACTTGACTCCTTGCTGCACACCTTACTCTCCCTCCCAGAACCCAGCAGAGACTAATGCCTCAGTGTGCTCTTTTCCAGAAGGGGAATGCAGGCAGTTGACTTTCCAGGAGGACTGAGCATTTGTTTAGCACCTACTATGTGCCAGGCATTGTGATGGCTGTAATAAATTATAATAAGAACAAGAACATTAACTCTGAACATTTGTTAAGCATCTAGAATGTGCCAGACCCATATGATAGGCAATTCAAAATCACCACCATTATAACAACACTAATCATATGGTCAACATTTACTATGTATGATGCTCTTCTAAGAGCGCTGTCACAACAAAGACCATTTGAAAAGAAGTCTTGGTCGGTTGCTCTGTTTTGATAGGTCCTAACTCCAGCGGAGAAGTGGGACCTGGTCTGGGACCTCCTGCTAGCCACATCTCGGTATGGATACCGGTATAGATGGGCAATGGGGCAGAAATAAAGTCAGGGGGTGGGGCTCTAGGCAGAGAGCAGGCACCAAGCTCCTCCAGACTTAGATCCATATTGTCTCGGGTTAGCGATCCCACCTGAGTTAGAGTAGGTAGGTGGACTTGCACGAGTTCATTGAGCAGAGACAGTCACCAGCCCTGCCCTCCCTCCTTTAGGTCATGGGTTCTGTTCCTAGATTCTGAGGTTCTCAAGGAAGATCATGGGACAGAGGGGCTGAGGTCCTGTGGTCTGGAATCTTCTTGGGGTTCATGGGCTCTGCCCCAGTTGCCTGTCTGGACGCCATGCCCACAAGGTGACCTTTTACCAAGGTTGACTCAGAAGGGGCCTTTCTGTCCTGAGTCACTTCCAGGACTCTACCAGCTGTGCCTACCCGCATGCTTGCTCAGTGACCTTTAGAACAGGCTCCACCTTCCGCAACAAGACCCTGGTTCTTGGAGGTCACTGCCAAGGCCAGCGTGTCTGGTTTTTCTGGCCCACTCCCACTTACCTAATGCCTCTCTTGGTGCCCAGAGTTCCACTGCTGAGAGATGTGTCCTTGGCATCTGGAGGGGCTCTGAGCCTCCAGAAATTATGTTGTGTGGTTGTGACAGTTACTCCCATAAGGTTGGGACTCTGAGCCCTCCAATTGCATGCAGGGTCTTCTGGGTGGGTAGCAGTCGGGGTACCTTTGACTCTACTGTGATTCTTGCTCTTGAAGGTTATGTCAGGTGAGGGCTGTAGTCATTAGATCAGCTGGCACAGGAGGTTCTGAGGATGGGCTGTAGGGCAGGAGGAGGCTGAGTAGGAGGGGGCTCTACATTGTCTCTTTCTCCTGCCCCATGTAATCAACTTTGATTCTATGTGTGGTGGGCTCTCATGTATGATTTGGTGAAAGTGGCAGAAGCCCATGGGTTTCTGCGTGGATAGACTTGGGATGCCTGGGTTGGAGGGAGCCATGGGTGAGTGTATAGAGAGAGAGGAGTGAGCTCTCAAGAGTCTGAAAGGGATAGGTTAAACTGGCTCCTTAGAAACTTAGGGCCTGGGGTCAGTTCTGCCTGGGCCCCAAAAGGGATCTGGGAGCCAGAGCAGCAACTGGGAGCCTGGCCAGCATCCCTGGGAATGAGGGAAGCCAGGAGAACCAGTGGCAGCTCAAGAAAGGAGGTCCAGTTGGGATTGGTGGTTAGAGACTTCTTGGCCTGTGTGGGGGAGGGGCTATAATGGGGTGAGAGATGTTTGCTGAACATCTACTGTGCGCCTGACCCTGGGCCAGGCTGGGTACTGCCCTGAAGGAGCGCACAGCAATGAATTATGTTTACTGTGAAAGGTACTGAGGACCTTCACTCATGCCAGGGTCACAGCAACCTGGAAGGGGAGGGCAGTTGGTTGCCAGGACCAGGGCAGCACCTAGACTGGGGGCCATGGCTGATATTTGTTCTGGGGGACAGAAGGGACAGTTAGTGTAGCAGTGTCTCTAGCTTCCACCCTCTGTGGGACAGAGAACTCTTGGGAGCCCAACCCCTCCTTCCTGACCAGGCTTGGTGGAGGCCTGACAAACAGGCAGCTCCTCCCCTTCCTCTGCTGAGCCCTCTGCTCTGCCGTGGCTGAAACAGGTGACCAACTGGTGACTTTGCCTGGACACCTCTCTTTGTCTTTCACTCTGTATGTGAGACCCAGACAGGTGGGGAGAGGCCCAGCTGGGTTGCAGAAGGCAGGGTGTCGGGAGCTGCTGCACTTCACAGGGACCAGTCTTTGGGAGGTAAGGGTGAGAGTGGGCTCTTCCTAAAGACCCTCCCTATTGGATCAGACCTGGCTTCCGGCCTCACCCTCCTCTGCTTCCCTCTTTGCCTCACTGGAGGCCCCTGGAGTAGCAACCCCCACACCTGAACCTTATCCCCAGCCCTGGCTGGTGTGGCTCAGTGGATTGAATGCTGGCCTGAGAACCAAAGGGTCACTGGTTTGATTCCCAGTCAGGGCACACGCTTGGTTGCAGGCCAGTTCCCCAGTAGGGGGCCCGTGAGAGGCAACCACACATTGATATTTCTTGCCCTCTCTTTCTCCTTCCCTTCCCCTCTCTAAAAAATAAGTAAATAAAATCTTAAGAAATAAAAATAAAACAATTTATGAAAAGAACCCTATCCCCCCCAATATATGGGGTATGTAGCCACTTCAAAAGACTGTGGGGGAGAAGGACGGGGAGCCCAGGGTTAGGTGGTTATAGATGTTCAGATACTACTCCTGACCTTAGCCAAAGGGCTGAGGAGAGATTAGTCGATGTTCAATCAACATCTATTGCCAGTGGACTGAAAGACAATGGAACAGAGTCATAAGGTCTGACCTCCTTCCAGGCTGAGTGATTGCCTGAGGGCAACGAGTTTCAACCGTGTGCCACAGAAGTTTTTTACAACAAGCAGAACCTGACTCTTTAGTCAGGGACACTGACCTCTTTTCCCTTAGATTGTCAAATAAAGAAATGACAACATCCAACACAATAGCTATTTGGTGTGAATGAATCAAAATGATACTTATATTTTAAATTTTATTTTATTGATTATACTCTTACAGTTGTCCTGATTTCTCCCCTTTGCTCCCCATACCTATTTTTTTTGTCAGATTGGCAATAATTGTATTTTTGGGTGTGCTGCAGAATTTTAGTAATTGGTTTATGTGCCATGAGATGAAAAAATGGATTGAAAATTGCTGCCTCAGTGTGACATTTGCCTGGTCCCTGCCTCTTCTGACTCAGTTTCCTCAGTGGTTGAGGGAGAAGACTTAGTGTGTCTTCAATTTTGCTCTTTGGTTGTGCTCTAAGTACCTGGGAGTTTGTTCCAATGCAGCGTGTGATTCAGCAACTCTGGGCGCACCTGAGATTCCTCATTTCCAGCAAGCTCCCAGGTGTTGCTGGTCCCTAGATCCTACTTTGAGCAGTAAAGACTTAGAGAACTCATTGAATTTGGGCCTTCAGGACTGGTCCCTTCAGTCCTTTGTGACCTTATCAGCCATCAGAAGGAAGCCTTGGGGTTAGCTCCCAGATCCAGGCTAACAGAGTTGGCAGTTCCAAGGTTAGGAGCCGGGGAGCTCCTCCAGCCCACAGCGAGGCTGTGTTCAGGTAGAAAAGTCCCTTCCTGGCCACTGATTGATTTAACCAGGGGCTGCTTCTGTTTGATTTAACCAGGGGCTGCTTCTGTCTTTAGGAGCACTTAGGACACCTAAAACATGAAGGAACACTATAAAGTCCACAAAGTTATCCTAGAGGCCACAGGTGCCCTCTGAAAAGCTGGCACCCTTTATGAGGGTAGCAGCTATCAGTTAAATTATGCATCTCATTGCACTGAGAATGGAAATGTGATCAGGAGGTAAGCTGGGCATGCTAGGCTTGGCAGCTGCATGGCTGCCCCTTCCCAGGAGAAGCCCACACTTTTTAAAGAGAGAAGGATGCAGACAGAGCCAGCTGCCCTCTCACTCTGGGCTCCCCCTCGTTCGCCAGCTCCAACGACTGGGCTAGGGCATACGTCATGGGGTGCTAGGTACTCACTGGCAGGCCTGGGGCTCTTCAGGAAGGGATGGAGGGATTCCTATCTGCAGTTCCCATAGCAGTTTTGGCACGAAATGAGCTTGGCAACACCTGAATAATCATAGCAGTAACTACACGGCATTAACTGAAAGGACCTACAGTGGGCCAGGAACTGTGGAGAGAGCTCCCACTCCACCCACTTGTCAGGGCTCCCTCACATGTTATGGCTGGGAACAGGAGATCCAACCAGAGAGCTCTGGGGGGCTGCACAGGTATGTCCGTCCCTTTAAGATCTGGAATATTCAGGGCCCAGAGGAAGATGTCCGCAGTTCACATTGGTCAGCAGTTGTGGTAGTGGGGGACCATTTCTCCTGCTTCCTATCAGAGGATAGTGATTCTAGCTCGGTGGGTTTCACAGCGGCAATAACAACTGCACTTAAAGGGTCAGCTTCTAGAATGAGGAGAGGGGCTGAAAGTGAGCCCTTTCTTTCCCATCTAAGAGATTAAACCATTTACAGTGGTGGGCTCAGGGCAGGGCTCCTGAGCTGGGGATCTCTCTGGAACCCCGATCCTGTTTCCCACACTCACTCCAATGCCACCTTTCCCACTGTGGGGCACTTCCCAAATCTGCTGATGTCACCTTGGGTCCCTGGATGGGCAGGCATCTTGGCCCTTGGCTCAATCTGCTAGTTGCTGGGACTGTGGGAAGGCCACAGGCAAGAAACACATATCCCCAAAGTTCGTGTGTACAAGTATGTATTATGTAGGTGGGTATTTATCTCTGTGTTGTATGTCTGAAGATCTGAAGGTGCACAGCTGTTGTACAAGTGCACACTGTGCGTATGTGAGAATGAGAGTCAGAGGCTCCCAGACATTTCCGATAACTCGTATCCAGGTTGGCTTCCATCCTCAGTGCCTGGGAGGAGCTGGCTCTTAAACAGAAGAGGGTGATAAATTACTTTTGTAAAGTGGATAGCAACCCCCTTAAGCATCAGGGGGATATCTGAAATTTGCGAGATCCTGGCAGAGCTGTTGGCCCGAAGCCTTGGGTGCCAGCCCACTGTCCAGCAGAGGTTTAGAGGAGCTGGAGTAGATGCTGGGGGCAGGGCAGGCTGGCCTGTGTGAACGGAGAGGGTTGGGTCAGTCCCCTGGGGGAAATCCAAGCTGAGGCCAGATCCTGCCTCGCAGGTCTGTCACCCTGTCTCAGCTTACATTTCCAAGGAAACTGGTTGCTCTGGGTGGAGACTGGTCCCAGATATCAGGGCCCTGAGGATCCGGCCCTGGGCTTCTGGGAGAGGCGGGGGCAAAGCATGGGGTGCGGCTTGTAGACACCCTTGAAAGGCCCCATGTGAGGCTGGCCTAGAGGGTGCTGAGGAGACCCAGAAGTCAGGCCAGAATTTGGAGCTCTGGCTGCGGAAGGATTTCTGTGGGCCTCCCCACCTATGGCTCCCGGCTGCCCTCTAGGGCAAGCTTTTCACTGTGGCATCAAGAGCTGGCTAGGCCTGGGGGTCTGGTCTCTGTACTGCTGCCTTGCTGAGTGTGACCCTTTCCCTCCCCGACTCTGTCTCCCTGTGACCCTCTGGGCCCTTTCATCAGTGACGTGCCAGGATTCCAGGGGCCCTCCTGAACCTTCTGAGAGAGTGGAGAGGATCTAGGCAGCCAAATGCTGAGACGTAAAGGGCATGAGAGGGAGGGGTGGTCCAGGGACAGCTTGTGGAGAAGAGGGGATCTTCTTTTTTGCCCTAGTTCCTGTGTTAGATGTTAGAGATATCAAGGCACAGGGAAGAGGTGACTCTGCTCCCCAGATGCAGGTCAACAGCCAACGGCTGTCTGGGACAGTCTACCTCCAATCTGACTGTGCTCAGAAACCTGCCTCCTACCCCGACCCCAGAGCTCAGACACCTCTCATGCTTCTTCTGGGGACTTTACCTGAGTTATCCCCTGGGACCCACAATCTGTCTCCATTGCAACCCTGGGAGAGAAAGGGAAAGAACCAGAGGGTGGTGGCTCCGCGGGAACTCATAGGGGGCCTCCTGGAGACACTGTGTCTCAAATTCACTCCTAACCAAATGACAACCTCTCAGACCACACACAGGGAGTTTTCAGAATCCGTGCTGCTTCCTCTGCCTTTGAGAAGGAGTGCCCCTCGGGCCTCTTGTTGGAAGGGTAGAGGCCAGCAGAAATCTTCCTTGTGAAAGTCTCCCGTGAGCGGAGGGGAGGCACCTGTGGGTGCAGTGCCTCAGCCTACGCGTCAGCACCAGGGTCCAGGCTTGGGGTCCCCATGTTCCCTTCACTTTCCTCACTTTTTCTGTTCTGACCTCTTGAGAGGTGGGCGGGGAGGGGTAGAGCTGTGGAGGCCAAAACTCAGGCTAAAAAATCTAGGGCTGGACACTGAACATTTCTTAGTTTCCTTTTTTGCTTTAAGTTCATCAGAGAGGGCCTAGCCTATGTCTACTAAACCAAAGGGCTTGGTCTCATCCCACAAAGAGGGGGCAGAGATTTGGGAGGCCTCAGGAGGTAGAAGTTCAGGGCTCCTGTGGCCCTAGCCACACTGCTGGTTGAGGGTCGAGGGTGTGCAGGTTGGTGAGGACAAGGGTCCAGGGCATGGTCAGACAAACAACACACAGGCTGTCCAGAACCTCTGAAGCACCGTTTATCCAGGCCGCATGGAGCCAAGGGCCCCCAACTGCCTGCCCTCCAGTCGTCAGGGGAACACAGGCACCTCAGCGTCCGTGGCATCGGACCCCACATGCTCCCCAGCCTGACCCTCTGCAGGGCCCCAGACCCGTGTTTGTTTAGCCCTCAACCCGTAAATGAACTGGCCTCCTTCTCGCACTGCCAGGGGCTCCATCACTGTGGGCTAGCTAAGCGCCATGTTAAATAGCTTCCTTGTAGTCCCCCTTAAATAAACCTGTCCCTAGAGCAACCCACCAAATTTTCATTCTGAACATATTCTACTGGCTATGCCTTCCAGGGAGTGAAAGGCCCCTTTCTTTCTGCCCTCTGCTCTGGGGAATACCATCTCCCTAAAAGAACAGAGGGAAAAGTTTTCTCTTAACCCTTGGGCAGAGACAAGGGGTGGCCTGGTGTGGAGGGAACAGCCAGGAACCCCTGTCTGCCCCTCCCTTTCCTTTCTTCTCCTTATCCTTAAGAGGGTCAGAGGTGACTCACCCAAGGTCACAAACCCAGGACCCAGAGTCCTCACCCATGTAGGAGGTTACTATGGTTTTGACAGCTCAAAGTAGCTCCAGGGCAAGGGACTGACTCCCCAAGCCTGCCTCTGCCCTTGGCCCCTGTAGTTCTCCACATGGAACAGGCTGGGGAGATGCCAGTTCTTGACTGTACTCCGTCCCAGACCCCTGTAGGTTTCTCCCAGCACCCTCCACCCCTGGCATCCTCAGGTCTCGGCGGCTCTGGGGACACTCAGCACCAGGGCGTGGAAGAAATGGGGCCAGAGCCTGAGGAAGCTTGTTCCTGGCCCTTCAGTGTCTGGGCCCAGGCCAGGCCTTACACCCAGTACTGGCCATTTTTGAGGGCAGGGTTGGCTGTCCGGCAGAATTGTAGCAGCTCTGGGTCAGGATGGCCCCCCGGCGAGGGCCCCTGGCCAGTCAAGTTTGTGAGTGGGATGGCTTGGCTGGGGTCGACTTTGCGGAAGGTCTCCGTATCACTGGCTAGGCCATTACGGGGCTTGGCTGCCAGCACCTGGACATGGTGCTTGCCTGTCTTGTTGCGTTTGCGGAGGTAGAAGAGCAGGGGCAAGATGAGTGCCAGGAGCAGGAGGACCAGGCACACAGGGATGATGATGCTGAACATGTTGGCCTCGAGGAAGCCCAGGAAGCCCCCTGTTGCCACAGTGGGCACAGGGCTGGAGGCCGCCAGGCCTGGCTCGCCAGTTGGAGGGCTGCTCTCTGGCCTCTCTGCTTCTGTCCGAGCAGCCTCGGGGAGACTGAACAAGGCCACGCCGTAGGGTTGGGCCTCGTTGTAAGGCTCAGTGGCAAAGTCCAGCGAGACCACAGCTGGTGGGACACCTCTTGCCCACAGCTCCAGAGTGAGACTGTCACCTGCAGGGCCCGGGGACCTACCCTCTGGCCTGTATATCTCCAGCCCCAGCCTTCCATCTTCAAGGTCTTGCTGTGTGAAGTGCTCCACAGGCTGGCTGTCCCTGGGCTCTGTTCTGGCCCAGGGCACACGGACCAAGCGGCCATATCGGGGTCCCGCCAGAAGCCGGAAACGGGGCATACTGTCTGTGCGGTTGGCCAACTCACCTGCATTTAGGATGGTGGAGTCCAGGCGCAGGGTGGCACCCTGGGGCCATGGCCCACCCACCCACACATGCAGCAGAGCCCTCACAGTGACATTCACTGTGGCTGAAGTGTTGGCACCCCTGGCCAGTGCCAGGACACTGAAGTGGTCGTGGGAGGAGGAGAAGTTGGTAAAAGCAAAGACCACCTCACCTTGGTCTACCTGGAGCTGGCTGAAGGCTGTGGCTGGCTGCCCACCCACCAGGAGATGCCCATACTTGGGCCCCTGGGTGAGGTGGTATGTGGCATCTGGCTCCTCCCGGTCTGAAACCACCTGGAGCTGCTGCCGGCTCAGTGAGGATCGCCCTAAAGCTTGGGGCACCTCTAGGGGTGCTTGCGGCTGTACCTCAATCGTGGATGGCAAGACATCCACAACCAAGGACATGGGCAGGGGTGGACTGGCTCCGTCAGATACGCTCAGCTGGAAGATGCCTGCCACACTGCTCCCATTGGCCACGAAGGCCAGCCGCCCTGCGTCCACATCGGCTTGTGTGAAGTGGGTCACGGGCCCTGCACTGGTCCCTGCCAGGCTCAGGAAGCCATTGTGGGGTGCCCGCTGTACCTTGAACTTGATCTCCTCGGGAGCAGAGTCTGGGTCCAGCACACTCAGCTGGGCCCGGGAGATTGAGGTGCGGGAGCCTCGGGTGAGCTGGAGTGGGATAGAGGCCTGTGGTCGAGGTTGCTGCTCATTCACATCTTGCACAGAGATGGCAAAGGCCTCTGAGATTTGAGGTCCCACCAAGGAGGCCCCCGCCGGCCCCTGGAGGTGGGCATGGAAGCGGAAGCTATCCGGCTGAGTGCCCCCACCACTGTGGGCGTACACCAGATGCCCTGCAGCCAGCTGGGACTGCAGGAAGTGGGAGTGCCCGGCATGGAGGGGCTCCTCAGACAGCAGCAGCTGGCCCCGGGCGGGGAACTGTGTGACCTGGAACAGCACGTCGTGCTCTGGGCGCTGCGGCAACACGACACTGGCCAGAAGGTTGGAGGCGTCAAGGGCAGCTCTGGTGATCTTGGCTCGCTGGCCTTTGAGGACCCAGAGACCTGGGGGTAGAACACAGGCTAGGAAGGTCCAGTCCACTGAAGAGTCATGGACCCTCAGACTGGGGCCCCCAAGGCATGGTTTGCTGCCCCCCTCAGACCGGCTAACCAAAGATGGGGTTCGGAGGAATTCCCAGGAGGAATAAGGGCCATGTCTCCCTTCTGACCTCAAAGCCTCTCCATCTGCCCACCTTCCCTATAACATCCCAGGTCCTGAGGCTGACCCTGGCTTTGTGTCCCCTCCTCTCTGGTCCTCTCCCAGTGTCCCCCTAATTTTGTCAGCCTGTCATGCTGCTCACCTTTGTTCCTCCAGAGGCGGCTCGAGTGCTGGGGACAGGCAGCCTCAAAAGACACAGTCACAGCAAGGGTGGTGGCCAAATCGGGGGCCGGGGGCGAGACCAGCCGGAGCTTCACAGTGTCGTGGGCTTCCCAGAAGGGCTCCGCAGGCATCTCGTGCTCATAGAGAACATTTCCAGCATACACCTGTGGGAGACCCCCGCTGTTGGGATGAGGCAGGTCCGAACTGTGTGCCCAGCAGCCCCTTCTCGGGCTGGCACTGAGCACTCCGACACCTCCCCAGACCGTCATGTGGCAGTGAAGACCCAGGTTCTACAGCCAGAGGCGTATCAAGTCTGAGCTCTGCTGCTGTGGGCAAATCTCTTCTTTGAGCCTTAGGAGGAAGAGATACTCCACTCTTGGTTTTCTTCTTATCTCAGTAGTTGCTCCTTCACAGGCTCTCTTGGTCCCTCCACTTCTCCCCACCATCTATGGCTGGGCCTTGAGGCTCTTCTCCATTGACAGGCAGGCCCCTTGCGTGCTCATTCAGTCCTCAATGGCAGCTATGTGGATGACCTCCTTATGAGTGTCTCCTACCTGGACTGCTCTCTCTGAAACCCTTGCTTCTCATATCCACCTGTGTCCTTGGCAGCTCCTAGTGGATTGTCTAGTGGGCATCTCCAACTCCGCATGTGCCACGTGGACTCCTGATTTGCCCATGTCCCTGTGCTCCCACTGTGGAAGGCAGCAGCTGTGTTCTTCCAAAGGCTCAGGCCAAACTGTGGCATCATTCCTGACCTCTCTCCTCTCCCCACGCCTCATCATATCTGCCTGGATTAAGGGGGTAGCCTTTTAACTGTGGCCCAGCCTTGGACCCTGCTCCCTTCCCCTACAGTTTGTTCTTAACACAAAATCTAGAGTAAGCTTTTGAAAAGTAAGATTATACAACTCTTGCTCAGATAGTGCAATAGCCTGCCATTTGACTTGCAGAGACTCTGTTGTGACCCTATTACCCCTGTGACTTCACCTCTGACCACTGCCTTTAGCAACTCCAGTCCAGCCAACCTACTGCTCACTACATGTGTGCATAGTCCTTGTTTTCATTTCTATAAAGAAGTAAGTTCTGCCCTGGCTGGTGTAGCTCAGCGGATTGAGTGCGGGCCTGCCAACCAAAGGATTGTGGTTCGATCCCCAGTCAGGGCACATGTCTGGGTTGCAGGCCAGATCCCCAGTAGGGGGAAGCAAGAAGCAACCACATGTTGATGTTTCTCTCTCTCTTTCTCCTTCCCTTCTCCTCTCTCTAAAAGTAAATTAAAAAAAATTTTTTTTAAAAGAAGTAAGTTCCTTCCCCCTTCTGATCCAAATGTGTCCTCTTGGCTTATCTTTTGTTTTCTCCTTTTAGAAGACACAGAACTATTTTCCTTCTCTCAGAAAAATAGGCCTTGGGCAATAGTGAGACAGAGACGGAGGGTGCGGAGACTTCTGGGAGAGCGGGCTTGCGGTGACTGCGGAGCACAGCCCGGCCGAAGGGCAGCGGCTTCTGAGATGGCTGCTGTAAGAGGGAACACAGGCCTGGAAACCGGAAATTAGGTATTTTGGTGAAATCTCCTAAAGGCTGTATGTTGACCATTAATTAAAAAATATTAAGTGCATATGCAGGCCAGTTAAAACACATTTGTCAGCCAGATGTGGCCTGCAAGGGTGGCCAGCTGTAACCTTTGGCTCAGGCTGAAGGGGGGGCAGGAAGGAAATGAAGACCCCTGGGAGCTGGGGGTGGGAGGCTGGATGCCTGGGTATAGGAGCATCTTGGGTGGGAGGGGTCTGGTGAGGGTGGAGCAAGTCACAGACAAGGTGGAGAGGGTCCCACAGCTCTGGGAGCAAGCAGTGTCACCAGGGGAAAGAAACCTTGGACTAACAATCAGAAAGCACATTCTTGGCTTTGCCTCTTACTAGTCATGTGCTCTGAATAAACTCACCAGACCTCTGTGAGCCTCAGTTTCCTAATCTGCAAAACGGGGCACTTGTTCCCTATCCCTCCCAGCTCAGATATTATGGGTCAGTGGTGATGTCCGACACCAGCAAGGCCTGCCTGGGCCCCTTCCCCAAGGGCAGATGGGTCTCTGCCATGCAGCTTCCTCCCGGACACTGCCGGCGCATCTCCTGATGGCCACTCAACGTGGTCCTTCAAATCGCTGGGGTTTGTGGGGGAAGCAATGTAGGATGGGGGCAGGGATCCAAAGGCTGGGTCCATCCCTCCCACTTCCTGGACATTTGATGACAAAGGCTCCCAGGGACTCAGGGTGCACAGCTACGGTAGCCACCCGCTGTGGTATGTGCCTGCTGAGTATTTAATAGTAGGGAAGAACAGAAAGGGGGGGCACAGCCGAGGCCAGGGCTATAGGAGAACAGAGAACCCAGGCCTGGAGCCTGTTAATATGAGAGACTCAAGAAACCATTCCCACCCCTGTCAAAGCCCCTCCTTTCCTGAGGCCAGAAAGCTACTCACCTGCTCTGCCCTAGAAGGGGCATTAAGTGATGGCTGCTGGTACTGGTAGGTACAGTTAGCACTGAGCTCTGTGATACCAGCAGCCTTGCAGTCTGAGTGTTGACTGATAGCTTTTGCTGTGCTCTGGGACTGCCACACCCTGCCACTGCACTGATAGCCTCACTTGGCTGCCTTCCATCCACTCATAAGCTCCCAGGACCCACTCTGCTTCTTGCTGGCCCCTGACCTGAGCCCCAGACTCATACCTCTGTCCACAGTCCCCACAGCTGCCTTCAACTCGTACTCCATCCCTAGACCATGCGCTTCCCCTCACCAGCCACTCGTGTCCCCCACCCAGTACACATTTTCTAGCCCCTCAGTCCAACTGCTGCTTCCTTGTGGAAGCCAAGTCCCAGGACCCAATCTCTGGTCAGAACCCTTTTTATCCTGACCTCCTGCATTCTTCTGTGGACAAAAAAGGGGCCACATGCTAAACCTGACAAACTCAGGGGATGCCTGCGGGGTGGTCTTACAAAGTCAGAGACCAAAAGAAACCATACAGGATGGTCTGAAATGAAAACTTCTTAACTAAAAGTGAGTCTTGATAGTCATGTCCTAGGCAGGTATCTTCCATGACAAAGGTCAATCTTAACTTTAACTGAGCCCGTCTATAGTTTTTCTGCATCTATGATAACATAGCTTTGGAATGTCTGAGTAATACCTTTTTTCCAGACTCCTCAGGGCACAGTCTCCTACCAGAGTGAAAAAACAGGGATGCCCTCATTGTTATTACTATCACGTTCATTGTTAACTGCTAACTACCCTATAACCACCCAATGTAAAAAAAGTATGTTGTCTGCCTCTTCCTTTTACCTTTTATCCAATCCCAGAGATTCCCCCACCCCCGCTTTCCTTTCTGCCTCCTCCCTAATCTGTTACCAATGGATTTCTTATAACCCCCTCACAGCTTCTCCTTTGATTCTGATGTATAAAATAAGGTGCATAACTGCCATTCTCTGGACCATTTTCTCACTCAGTTGAGATTTTGCTTCCTGGCAATTGTCAGTTTGGCTCAAATAAATTCATAAAAATTCTTACAGGTTTGGATGTTTCTTATGTTGATATTTACTGGGCGCAGTGGGACAGGATTCCAAAGAAGCCCACCCAGGACCACCTTGCAGACCCAGACCCCATCTTAGGTACCATCAGGGACCCATTGTGTCCCACCTGCTCCTCATTTTGCATCAGGTGAACTTGGGTGAGTTTCACATGGAATTCCAGACCTTCCTGTTTTAAGGTAAGAGGCTCTGGTTTTATTTGAGCTGGGTTTTTTTTTTTTTAATTCCTTGAGGTAAAACTATAGGTTAAGGGTTGAGAGAACCCAGTACAATAGGAAAAATAGGTGGCTTTTTTTTTTAGCTTGGTCTTTTCATTTGCAATTGCTTTCTGAGAATTGGAACGAAAACCATTTTTGCTGGACAAAGGAAAGCCTGAACTTGCTGAGGTCCAGAGATAAAATCACTTCTACCTTCCAGCTCAAATTCTGAGTATTCTTAGGTGACCAAGAATCTATGCGGAAGTGTCAGAGAGTATACCTCATGATGTGTAAGAGCCCTGTAAGAAATTCCAATTACACTCTAATTAAATTTATTTGTCTGGGGATGTGCTCATAAAGGTTGGTTACCTAACGCTCGGAGTCCTCCTGGCTGCATTGGACAACTGATGAGAGAAACTGAGACACATGAGAGTGTTTGAGATGACTCAGGAGGTGACAGCCTTTTGGAACTCAACCTATAGGTAGCACCCTTCAACCCACCACACAGTATCCCTAGAAATTTGTGCAGACTCTCAGATCCCAAAATAAAACAAAATTAACATGGGAAATCATGCCTCCAAGGCCAGAAACTCCCAGCCTCCAGCCCGCTATTAACACTTCTGCAGATACAAAAGAAATAGGAAGCCTTTATTTGCAAATACTTACAGAAATGGGAAGATTTAACTAGAAATTATATCAATTGAAGATGGCCAAAATGGAGGGACTTTTTTGGGAGGGCCTGAATTAATTTTTTGCATCCAGAATTAGAAAATGCTGGTTCTAGCTCTGACTGGTGTTGCTCGGTGGGTTGCACAATGTCCTGCAAACTGAAAGGTCACCAGTTCATTTCCTGGTTGGGGCACAGGCCTGGATTTCAGGCCAGGTCCCCAGTTGGGGCCCTCGAGAGGCAAACTATGGATGTTTCTCTCCCTTTCTTTCTTCCTCCCTTCCCCTCTCTCTAAAAACAAATAAATAAAATCTTAAAGAAAATGCAGGTTCTAAAATTACATGGAATGAAAGGGAAGCATCTTGATTAGAGATTAGAAGCTTCTAGGAGAAGACAGATATATTTGTTTTTTTAAAAGTTAATAAGAAATTTTAAAGACTGTCTTTGAACTAAAGGAGGCTTCTGAAGCTAATAAATGCCAACACCCCATTCCTGCCCCTTCTATAGTTCTCCACTATATTCTTTGCTCTCTGAGATGCCTTGGCTACGCTTGCCCTCCCCCTCCCTTTCCTTCCGGCTCTTCTGTATCTTCTCAACTACTGCTCTCTACTGACCTGGGGGAAAATAAGACTAGGAATTCAGACAAGGATAATTCAGGAATTCCAGAAGCCCCCTTTGGAAAAAAGCCAGTTTCAGGAACATATCCAACTGTGTATGTTAAATCTTACAGATTTCCCCAA